CACCTCGTCAGATTATTTATGGGTAGTTACAACTTGTCGTAGAAAACTTTTCTACGGCATCCGCGGATACCTCGTGAGATTATTTACGGGTAGTTATACTTCGCTGTAAAAAACTTTTCTACGGTAGGCGATGGTGTCTCGTGAGTTTTCTATGGGTAGTTACAATTCGCCGTAGAAACCTTTTCTACGGCATGCCTCGGCACCTCGTAGGTTAATTAAATAAAATTTAATATATATAAACGAAATTATTTTCTACGGCAAATCTATTGTTGTTTTTCTACGAGGTCGATTTTTTCCCTTAAAAAAAATTGAGTATTTATGGAACCCTCATACACTAGTGCCTAGAATGCGCCGTGAATAGGTTTTCACGGCGTTTTTGGCCCCTCGTAGAAGCTCTTTTTTCTTGTAGTGTTTTATCTTTCATGAAGTTGCTCTATACTTATTATTTCCTTATACAGAATTCCTTTTCTATTGATGCGGCTCTCCCTTTGTGGTCTTGAACACATCTTTATTAAAGAAATATTCAAACACTTTTTCAAGCTTCACTCAGCCCGTCCTTCTTCTGAAGGAATGTGGCTTTACGAGCTTCACCTAACTCGTCCCTTTAATAAGGGAATGTCAATTATCTCTTTTAATAAAGAAATGGACTTAATGTTTTACTAGTCCTTTCGGAACTTATTAAATTCAATAATAATGCAGTTAGCAGTAGAAAAATGTGAAATAAAGACGAATAATTATTTTATTAAAACTTATCAAAAATAATATTCGATAGTCGATCACCAGCATTCATTAAACACTGGTCCGCTTTACTGAAGCTAAAAACATGCTATCACTTTAAAAGTGAAATAATAAAATAAAACATAACCTGGCATAAGTACTTACTGGTAATATTTCCTCAAATATCCTGCATTCCATGGGTGGGGAAGTTGGCTTCCTCCAAGTGTCTCTAACCAATATGCCACCGGTCTGTTGCTTTGGGTTACTCGATAGGGGCCCTCCGAGTTGGGAGCTAACTTTCCTTCCCCTTTTTCCTTAGTAGCCGAGGTAACCTTGCAAAACACCAGGTCTCCTGGCTCGAACCTTCTTAGCTTGACCCGGGCATTGTAGTACTTGGATACCTGCAACCTTAACTTGGGTCTGTTTTCTTTTTGCTTCTACCAGGTCTAAGTTTAATTGCAGTTCCATCTCGTTCTGTTGAGGTTCGAAATACTTGGTTTTGAAGGTGGCAACCTTTGTTTCTATTAGGATCACTGCTTCACTTCCAAAAGCTAACCTAAAGGGGGTCTCCCCAGTGGGGGTTCTCACGGTAGTGCGATAGGCCTATAAAACTCCGGGCATTTGTTCGGGCCACAAGCCCTTGGATTTTTCTAGACGTGTCTTGATCATCTTTTGTATTGTCCGATTCGTGACCTCAACTTGTCCATTGGCTTGGGGATAGGCCAGAGAAGAGAAATGAACTTTGATCCCAAGCTCATTACAAAAATCAAGGAACTGTTCACTTTCAAACTGTTTCCCATTATCTGTCACAATTACCCTTGGTGCTCCGAATCTGCAGATTATTGTCTTCCAAAAAAACTTCTTTACTTCATTTGCTCTAATATGAGCTAATGGCTCAGCTTCTACCCATTTGGTGAAGTAATCGATAGCCACAATTGCGTATTTAGTTTGTCCCTTCCCTGGGGGTAAGGGGCCGACGAGGTCCGTCCCTCATTGGGCAAAAGGCCACAGCCCTGTAAAAGGGGTTAACTCTTCTGCTGGTCGTTTTGGGACATTGGCGAATCTCTGGCATTTGTCACATTTCTTCACAAAATTAAGGACATCTTTCTTCATAGTAGGCCAAAAGTATCCTTGTCGGATAGCTTTATACGCTAGTGATCTACCCCCAGTATGGTTTCCATAAAGGCCTTTATGTATGTCCTTTATAATGTAGTTGGCCTCATCAATGGAGACACAACGCAAGTAGGGTAGAGAAAATCCCTTTTTGTAGAGAACCCTATTAAAGAGGGAATATTTTGCTGCACGCATCCTGATCTTTCGTGCTTCCATGCGATCCTGGGCAGCTCTTCGTTCTTTATGTACCTGATAATAGGTTATGCCCATTCCATGCCTTGGATCACCTAGTGTGTTTTCAGTGGCCAATCCCAGGTTGTGCTAGGCTCAAATGTTCCACATATATGCCTTTATCTTCCTCTGTGGTTACTAGTCGAGCTAGGGCGTCTGCCTACTCCTTATCTTCTCGGGGGATCCGATGAATAGAGAACTTCTTAAAAAAGCTTTTGATATCTTCTATCTTATGCAGATAGGTCTTCATCTTCTCATCCTTGGCTTCATATTTCCCCTCAACTAGTCCAGTTATTAGTTGAGAATCAGTATACGTATTAGTGGCTCAACTTCCAGGGCTTTAGCCATCCTGAGGCCTGCCAGGAGGGCTTCATATTCCGCCTCATTGTTAGTTGCCTTAAATCCAAACCTGAGTGCATATTTGATATATTCCCCATTTAGGGAGACAATTACTAGCCCTACCCCACTTGCACGGGCGTTGACTGACCCATCCACGTATAATGTCCAAGTAGATTCAGTTTCTTCTTACTCATTTACGCGATGCTCGTGCCCATCTTCTGGTGTGAATTCCATTATAACATCTGCTAGTACCTGGGCTTTTAAGGCCATTCTGGGTTTGTATTGGATATCGAACTCTCCAAGTTCTACCGACCACTTCATGAGTCACCCCGAAGTATCAGGTTTGCTGAGAACCTGCCTAAGTGGTTGGTCTGTCAATATTATTATTGTATACGCTTAGAAGTAAGGCCTGAGTTTCCTCGCAGAGACAACTAGAGCAAATGCCAACTTTTCTATCCTTGGGTACCTCTCTTCTGCCCCCCGAATGCACGGCTAGTATAATATACTGGTTTCTGGTTTCCATCCTCTTCGCGAACTAAGGCTAAGCTTACTGCCGATGGAGAAACCGCCAAGTACAAATATAACTGCTCTCCTTGCATCGCCCGTGATAGTAACGGTGGTGAAGTGAGATACTTCTTTAACTCTATAAAAGCTTACTCTCACTCAGGTGTCCATGAAAAAGCTTTCCTGAGCACACGGAAAAAAGGCAAACACCTATCTGCTGCCCTGGAAATAAACCTGTTCAGAGCAGCGATCCTTCCCGTTAATCTTTGAAGTTTCTTGGTCGATGCTGGAGACCGCATGTTGAGAATTGCCTGGACTTTCTCGTGGTTGGCCTCTATTCCTCTCCTACTTACCATATAACCAAGGAATTTCTCAGAGGAGATACCAAAGGCACATTTATCTGGGTTAAGTTTCATTTGGTGCTTCCTGAGGACTTAGAATGTCTCCTGTAGATCAGCTAGGTGGTCTTGAGCTTTCAAGCTTTTTACGAGCTTGTCATCCACATATATTTCCATATTCCTCCTGATTTGGTTGTTGAACATCAAGTTAACTAGCCGCTGGTATGTTACACCAACGTTTTTGAGCCCAAAAGGCATCACCTTGTAGCAATATAAACCTCTGTTCATGACGAAAGAGGTCTTCTCTTTGTATGGTGGATGCATTGAGATTTGGTTATACCCTGAATATGCATCCATGAAACTGAGCAGCTCATGGCCAGCCGTTCCTTCTACCAACATGTCGATTCTTGGCAGGGGGAAGCTGTCTTTGGGGCACGCCTTATTTAAATCGGTAAAGTCTACGCACAACCTCTATTTTTCATTGGCCTTTTTTACCAAAACAACATTGGCCAACCAGTCAGGATAATTAACCTCTTGGATGAAATCAGCTTTCATAAGCTTGTTCACCTCTTCTGATATAGCCATGTTCCTTTCCGCGGCAAATGTTCTTCGTTTTTGCCTGATAGGTTTGAATGTGAGATCCGTGTTTAATCGATGCTCAATCATAGCTGGATTAATACCAGGCATGTCTTCATGTGACCATGCGAACACATCTTGATTCTGTCTGAGGAACTGTACAAAACTATTTGTGAAATCTGAGGGGATCAGAGACCCTATCCTCACCTTTTTTTTTTGTTACATCAGTGTCAGTTAGGCATATCTTTACTAGGTCCTCAATTGGCTTGGCTCGGTCTTGCTCATTTTCTTCAATTTCTTCGACAACCAAAGCCTCTTGTTGTTTCTTTTCTTTGAGAGATGCAACATAGCATTCTCTGGCAGTGGTCTGGTCTTCTCTTAGTTTGCCTACACCATGATCTCTAGGGAAGTGCATCAAGAGGTGAAAGTCAAAGTGATTGCCCTCATCGAGTTTAAGGTTGTTCTTCCTAGAATGATATTGTAAGCAGATGGACAATCCACCACCAGGAAGTCTACCATGACAGTAATTTGTTTTAGGCTGGTTCTTGCATGACAGGAAGAATAACCGTTTTTAGAGGTAGACCTTACCTCCCGTGAATCCCACCAATGGTGATCTAGTAGGTCTGAGTTTCTCCTTATTAATCTTCATTTTGCTGAATGCATCAAGGAAAATGATATCAGCCGAACTTCCATTATCTACTAAGATCCGCCTAATACTATAGTTAGGGATCATCATGGTGACAACGAGAGGGTCGTCATGAGGTTGTTGCACGTCCTTAATATCTTCATCTAAGAATGTGATAATAGGATCACCTAGATGAGGCATTTTTCGATGTTGAATTTGTACTCCAACTTTGCACACCTCAGATGAGTTTCGCATTCTCCTGGCATAGGCCTTATCGGCTTAGTTTTATTCTCTACCTCCTGCACATCCCTCAGCTATGACCCTGATTTCTCCCATTGGTTGTTGATCAAAGGGGCTGTTATCTTGGCATGCTCTTGGTGTATTAATATCGGTTTTGTCATTCCCCACAATAAACTTTCGCATGTGCCCCCTTTGAATTAAAGTCTCAATCTGATCCTTGAGGTCTAAGCAATCCTCTGTGGTGTGCCCATGGTCTTTATGGAACCTATAGTACTTATCACGAGGTCTCCTCGCCAGATCTGACTTCAACTTTGGTGCTACTTTAGATATAGTTCATCCTGAATCTGCAGGAAAACTTGATCTATCAGCATATTTAAAGGAGTGTAATTTGTATACCTCTCCGCATTCTTATAACGAGACGCCCTTTCATTCTGGTTGACCATGGGTTTCTTATATTTGATTTCCTTTTCCTCTTTGGTTGTCAAAGCCGGCCTTTTATTGTCTGCCTTCTTATCCTTCCCTTCTTTTCCCTTTCTCACAATCATTGCATCTTCAACATTTATATGTTTTTTAGCCCGAACCAGCAACTCAGCCATGCTAGTAGGGGGTTTCTCTGATAAAGAGAAGAGAAATCTCGAGGTTTGGAGTCCTCCCATAAAGGCGGCTAGGGCCACCTTGTCATCCGCTTCCTCCACTTGCAACATCTCCGTGTTGAAATGACAAATGTAATCGCGCAGTGACTCTCCCTTCTGCTGCTTCACAGTAAGAAGGTAGGTAGCCGGCCTTCTATGCCTCTGTCCAGCAATGAAATGGCCCACAAAACGCTTACTCAATTCTTCAAAGGTTTCAATGGTCCCTGGTTTCAACTTGTTAAACCATACCCGTGCTGATCCTTTGAGGGTCGTTGGGAAGGCTCTGCACATGATCTCATCTGGCATCACGTGCAGATACATAAGCGCTTGAAAAGTCTCCAAGTGGTCGAGGGGATCTTTAGTTCCATCGAAACTCTCAATTGAGGGCATTCTAAATTTGCTCGGCAAGGGGTATTTCATAATCGAGGGGCTGAACGGCAAGTTGGTATTCTGCACCAGACCATCTATGGCTGTAATGTCTTTTCCCTTCATAGCCTGCATTACATCTTCCATCTTTGCCTTGAGATCCTGTATCTCTAAGTCAACATGAGAAATCTCCTCTGTCTTTTCAATGACAGTTGTATCTTCATAGGGTTGGGAACTCCGCGGAAGAGATGGGTGGATCACCTCTCTATATCGGTTCCCCACCTGGCTTTGTTCCACCTCAGTCTCATGTTGGGAAGGATAATTATCCTGCTCATCAAGATTCCTATTACCTCTATTTGGGTTCGAGAGGTCTTATCGTGGCAAGTTCTGTTGTGGAACAGGGTGTTGCAAGAGTGCTGCATTTTGCTGGATCAACTGGTCCATACCCTGATTCAGAGTTTGGACCTGTAGTTCCAATGCTACAAGCCGTTTCTGGTTGTTTGGGACGTCTAGGTTTTCACCCGACTCTTCATTTTGACCAGATCCTTGCGACGGTGTTCCTTCGGTAACCATACTGGACCGCAAACGTGTATACCCAACCGAGTAATTAATTAATTGAAGGGAATCGTCGTTCCCACAAACGGCGCCAACTGTTGAGGTTGAAATTCACCACGGCCTGGTACGACACCGTTTCTTGCAAAACAAAGACGGTAAAGTCAAACATCGGTGTGGTGCCGGCCATTAACCCTCCAACGATTAAGTTAGTAGGGATTTCTAGTGAAAGAATTTTAATCGTAATTCTCCTAGTAGGGGTTTTTTTTTTATGTATACCTTATTCTCGAGTCGCCTTCCTATTTATCGTCGCTTCCCTTATTCTTGATAAGGGAATTTCATCATCCTTATCCATGGAACTTATCCTATGAAAATCTTATCCTTAATAAGATTTGTCATTATTCGGATGGAAATCTTATCCTGGATAAGATTTGTGATGAGCACTGAAAAGTGCGCATTTAAACCCGTTAAGCTTAAGCATTCTAGTACCTTTATCTATCTTACTTTGTCGTTTTAGACCTATTACGTGTTATTTATATTTTCAGGCACTAATCCCAAAATTGAGCTAACTCAGCCAAATAAGAGCTTAATTGAAGCAATCCTGAGATAAACCAAAGAAGGGAGCAAAGTGGAGAAAGAAATGAGCAAAAAGGAATCAAGTTGTGCAGCTGAAAAGTTCGATCGATCCAATTTAGAGTTCGATCGATCGAACATCTATGATCGATCACAGTACTTCTCGATAGATTCAACCTTGGCCTTTGCTGAAATTCCAAGTTCGATCGATCGAACATCACCTTCGATCGATCGAACCCTATTTTGTCCTATTCAAATGATTGATCTTATCCACGGCTGTACGCCTACCAACCACTTTTGTCTTTTTCCCCATAAATATCTTGAAAATATCCCAGCCTTGTCATTATCCGGAGGAGTCAGACCACTTCGATCGATCCAAGATGCAGTTCGATCGATCAAACCCATTTTCGATTGATCCAAGTTAAGGTTCGATCGATCGAACTTCTTCCAGCAAGAAAAAGTTAAAGTCCAGCTCATTTATTCCGTCCTTCATCCAATCATTGGAGAATATGCCTTGCACGACCACAGCTCATCATGGGGTGTATTTGACCTACCTATATTAGGAATATGATACACTTTTTGAGAGAGTGTCTTGTCACACATTGAAAATTGATCTTAGAGGCTATTCTTGGAGAGGAGGAAGGAGGGAAGCTAGAGCACCATTGGAGGAGATCTTCACTAACAAGGAGCAGCCATGGAGTTAGCCCTTGAGGGTTGGATCATCACTACCATGAGTGGCTAGACATCCTCTTGGGGCTAGAGTTAGCCCCAAGCATGCTTTCTATACTCTAATCTTATGTATTATTGAGGGATTAGTGTTGTATGATACATCTTGATATTCATGTATATATAAATCTTGATTATTTCATGGTTTGTATGGTTTAATGCTTCCAATTGACTATTCTATTCTATCCATATGTCTATGTATGCTAGAGTAGGATATTTAATGTGCTTATCTCTAGATTTAGTGTTTTTGGTGCATGTCTATGTGTATTGATGCTATAGATCTAGAGATTATCAAGATGATATGCTTAATGAATGCTATTTTGGTTCATTTGATGGTTTATGCCTATTCTTGATGGTTTGTGCCTCTCCCTTAGTCTAGATAGCTTTATTTTCATGCTAGTAGTGTAGATTTAGTGTAGTGGTAGTGTAATGTTAGATGGGAGGACAATCTACTCTTGATGTTTGATGTTCCATGCTTATGAGTCCAAATGGTATATTCCTCTAATATTGTGTTGTATGTGGATTGTGAGCTTAATGAAGGATTAATGACTTGTTTTGATCTATTGTGCTATCCCCATGTTGTCTAGACAATATATGCTCTATTGTTTAGATATATTGTGCTCTTCACATGATGTTTAGACAATACTTGCTTGATTTGTCATCCTTGCCAATTGAATCAACCTAATGCACACACACCCTTATCATATTGCAACACATCCATTACCCTCAATTGATCACTTGTTAGTGGTATAGAAAAGTATTGCTTGGTGGTGATCTCTACACCCCAAGACCTCTCTCTCTCTCTTGTTTACTTCATATTATTTTATTTAGTTGAATTCAATTTAGCTTAATCAACCAACCAATCAATTGTGTGATCACTCGACCTACTAACCCTAATTACCATAGTTTCACAATTCGATACACCATCAAATCCCTTGGGACGATCTCTACTCGCCCTATCTATATTTTATATAGAGAAAGGTAGTAGTGGCTTTCTATAAATGTAAAACTTGGCCACCTCCTAAATTCACAACTCTTCAAGCTTGACTTGGTATCGCGACCCTTGTAAAGGACCGGTCAGTTTTTGGCGCCGTTGCCGGGGATTTTAAATTGGCAACGTCGAATTGTGAAATTCAATTAGGATTAGTACTCTTTTGATCGTGTCTTTACTTTCTTTTTATTTTCTATTTTTGATTGCTTATTGAATTTGTTCTCCATTGACTAGGTGCATTGAGCAAGGAGCTAGCAAAGTAATTCCAAGCTAAGGAGCAAAGCAAAGCAAAGCAAAGGAAAAATGCTTAAAATGAAAAATTGTTAAGTAAAATTGCTAAGCTAAGCTTTTAATTTTGGAGTTGAAGTGCTAAAGGACTATTGTGAGACCTTCTTACTCAATCTCCTTAGTTAAATCGGGGGCCCACGTGGAGGCATTTATTTGACATACATTGCATTTGAAAATTGTGGTTGTGAAGTTTAATTGCATTGTTGAGAAAGTTGCTTATTCGTATTGCATTGTGCATGCATGGTCGTCGTTCATTGAGACCTACTCTTGTCCCTCTTGATTTGCATTTAGAATCCACTATTAGGAATCCAAGGGGAAGAGGAAGTTCACATAGAACCAATCTACCAATGGACGCTCTCAATAATGATCATGCTGAAGACCTTAGTCACATAGACCAACAAGGCATCCTTCATCCTAATGTGCAAAATGATAATATGCAAGTTCCATTAGGCATGCCTAGGCCATACATTCATCAACCTCCTCAACAACAAGGCCAAATTCCAATGGGAATTCCAAGGCCAATTTATGCACCATAACCCCCCATCATTAATCAAGTTCAATATAACCAAGGTGTCCATGTTGCACCTCAAGTTGCTAATCCACCACTCGCATTGAGAGATCACTATGTGCCTAATGAGTATAATGCACCCATATGCATTCAGTTGCCACCATTTAGAGCACACCATTATGAGATTAAAGCACAAACTATCCAAATGCTACCTAACTTTCATGGACTTCCTAGTGAAGAACCTTACAAGCATTTGGATGAGTTTCTTGAAGTTTGTTCTACCGTTCGATACACGGACATGCCGGAAGAAGTTTTAAGGCTGAAACTTTTTCCATTCACCCTTAAAGATAAGGCGAAGTATTGGTTTAACAACCTTAGGCCTTTTTCTATAACTTCTTGGGCAGAAATGCAACAAGAATTTTTGAAAAAGTACTATCCGGTTTCTAAGACCAATGCTATGAGAACCGCCATTAGAGAATTCACACATGGGGAGGGAGAAACTTTCCACGAGGCATGGGAACGCTTCAATGAATTGCTTAGGAAGTGTCCTCACCATGACATGCCTAAATGGCAATTGGTCCAATTCTTCTTTGAAAGCTTATCGGACAATTATAAAGGCATGGTTGATGCTTCAATGGGAGGTTCTTATATAGACCGGCAAGAGGAAGACGTGTGGCGTCTTTATGAGAGCATGAGTGAAAACTCTTTGCATAGAACATTGTCATCTAGGAATGGTAGAAATTCTCAAGGTAGGAAGAGTGTTGGCTTGTATCAATTTGACCACTCAAATGATATAACCGCCGAGATGAAGTCTTTATCTCAAAAGTTTGATCAATTGATTAATCAAAACTTGGCGAATCAAGTGTCTTCCTTTCCTAACCATTCTCCTAGAGCTCAAAATGAATCATGTATGACTTGTTCTAGTGTTCTTCATTCTACTTCTAATTGTCCTCATGGACAAATTCAAAATGAACCCATTGAGCAAGTTAATGCAACATTTGTGAACCAAGGGAACAATCCTTATGGTAACCATTACAATCCCGGTTGGAGGAATCATCCAAATTTTCTTGGAAAAACCAAGGGGAGGGCTCAAACTCTTCCCAAGGCGGTTTTCAAGGGAAATACATTCCACCTCCACTTCAAAACCAAGGATCCCAAGGTTCAAGACCATATAACTCACAAGGAAATCAATTTGCTAGTTCTCATTTTCCTAACCAATCATATTCTCAAGGAAATTCTAGAGGTTCCGCTTTTGAGGAAAAGGTTTTAAATGCTTTGGGCACTCTAGAAGCAAATACTCAATTGTTGCATTCTCATTCTCAATCAATTGCCAAGCTAGAAACCCAAGTAGGGCAAATAGCTGAAACACTTAATGCTAGAGAGAAGGGAAAGATGCACATGAATGCCCCAATCAAACAACAATGTGTTGTAGAAACCAAATCCTCATTGGAAGGGCATAATATTGAGCATGTCAATGCGGTAACAACCTTGAGAAGTGGTAGGGTAGTA